CTACTTACCCTTTATGTCCTTTAGAAGTTTTCACTTGTCTGCTTCTGCGTTTTCCCTCAGTTGTTCTTAAATTAATATTAACATGGCGTAATATGTCATTGTGCTGTTGTTTGCATTAGGTTGTATTTAAATAATTTTAGAACCTGCTAATTTTTTTATAGGTTCTGATATTACACTCGAATAAGTTTTCTTTTTACTATGACTTTAAATTTAATGCCACTATTAACAAGACAAATGCTTAATGCTGCTGTTCCCCCTGAAGTGCATTATGCAGGAGAAGAGCAAGGTATGATGGGAGTCGTTTCTGAACCAAGTGGCCCTCCACCTGGAAAAAGCAGAGCACTTAAAAAAAGTAGCTTTTCTGCTTATGATGTGATGAATCATCATTTGGCCTGATAACCAAAATAAATTCGGTTTATGAAAATAAGAAAAACAAACAGCTGAGCACTGCTGAGGGAAAAGCTGCCCAGAAGCTCCACTTTTCACTGGAGATCCAGAGTGGCTGGAAGGTCTGCAGACAGTGACCCACGATGCCCCTAAGCTGCAGCCAGCAACAATCAATAACCAACCTCAAAACATGTCAGCGATCCCTTGATTTCTTTCTGCCGTTTGAAGTCTGGTCCTGCTGATCTAATCCCTCAGATGGATGTGAATCTTAAGCAACATTTGTCTTTGATCCATTATTTACCGGATTCTTGAGAGCGACTTATTGATAAACTCTTGGTTAAAATGGATTCAACAGTTTTACGCTGTGGCGCTCTGGGTCAAGTTGTTCTTGAGTCACTCACCTCAATTTTTAGGTCAAGATTGTTCTGTTGCCTTACACAGGAGCCCTGAGCTTTTGAGACCTCTAAATTGGCACCATTTAGCTTAAAGGCAGTGAATGTGAGATAATTCTCTTCAGCTAGACTAAAAATGAAACACTTCCAGCCATTCTCATAATTCTACAAAGCTGCACTTCAACATGCTGATGATTTGAATATAATGCTTAGCAGCTGTAATGTTTATCATATTCACTATCTTAGTTTTGTATGTAGTTTGCAGTGTATACAGTAAAACTTATAATGGCAAATGTTAGTCTTATAATAAAATGTTGTTTTGGTAATATAATTTAGCTTAAGAGAGACATTAACATCAGCAGGATTTGATCCATCCAGTAGTTTCAAGTAACTTGACACTAAATCATTTGTGTTACAAAGTAAAATTAAAGGGACTAGTTCATCCTCTGGGAACCAAAAACTGCTGTTTAAAAGTTTTATGGCAGTTTTATGCATCCAATAGTTTTAAAGTTGTCCAACTCAAAATTGCAACTCAACGTCAGATGAGGGAAAAGGATGACACAGATGGCAAATCTTCTTCAGCTGATGTTTTGCTACTAGAATTTTTTACCCCAGTGTATTAATGTTTTGCCAATTACAGAATGTTGCTGTTGTTTTCAAACCAAAGGCCCCGACTGATGGGGCATCAATGAATGTCTGAATGTAAAATATGACAAAATTGCATTGTATAGGGGTTCATTTTAAGGGGAAAGCTTTGGGATACATAAACATAAAGCCAGAAGTATGTGAAACACTATACAATCACTAGAGTCCTTTATTTCAAGACAGTTTTCAGCTGTCCACGTCTCCTGTTTAAATGTTCAGAAACTGTCAGCAAATTTGTATTTATGTTGACTTTGTGTCTTCAAAATGAGGGAAATGAAATGAAAGTGGTCAAATGCAACTATTTTACATCCAAAAACAATACAATTTAGCTCAGTATTTCAGAAGGATGTGTGTGAAAATAGAGAATTGCGTGGATAAACAGAGAGTCAATTACCTTTTCTAAAATGTAATTACATAGAAATCCCACACAGTAAAAAAATATTCACGAGGAAATCCATCTAAATCCTCATATCTTTTGATTTCACTGGAGATTCCCCACTGCCAGTTTATAGCACCATTTGCCAAGAAGACAAGACAAAGGGAAATAAGATTAAAGTCCAGATTGCTTCAATATGTGAAATCCAAACTGTGAACAAGTTCAATATTTACACGAAGGCACTTTGCAGGCACTTTAAAGGTGGCTCAGCTTAAGTGGGCTTTTTACCATATTTCTGTGGTAGCTGTGGATAGTCTCTTCAGGAATGGTAACTCCAATATGGATTTTGTTCATATTTTAATGTTGTCAATAAACTTCCTGGTGACTGAAATCCAGCTGCTAAGAAGGAAGAAACATAAAAAAGTTTTCTCTTCCTTTTTCTAGGATTTATAATTAAACAAAGTTTACAATCGGATTCAAAAAAGTAATGTTCTCAGCTTCCCTCGAAACAGCTGTAAGTTTTACTGTATGTGACAACAGAAGCAATTGGACAACTACTGATGTTGGACAAGTTGGGTCCAAAATACAGCGTAGTCTGGCTCGCCAGCTAACACATTATTTTTAGGAATAATTTATGTTAAAGTATTTAAAGTGAAGCCTAGGTGTCTGCAGTAGAAAAGCAGTTTAACTGACAGAATGTGAAATTTACATCCACATCTGTAACAAACTGGCAAACTTCCAAGGGGGACCCTGCTTCTCACCCTGTGAATGCTACAGTCCCGCAACCTTAAATTGAAAACATGAATTAGCTGGATAAACAGAATGAATCTGGTAATCCAATTTTAAGGCACAATTTTCATTTTCATGCCAAGATTATTTACAAAGGGCTTAATGTAAGGATCTAGTGACTCCGTGTCTAATATTAGAGCTCCACTTGAACTCATGGGTCTGAGTATCTTGACCTCAATCTTGCTCTCACTGATTTTTAAAGATATTATGGTCATCCAGGTTTTGATGTTGCTGTAACATTCTAATAACAAGCTGCCATTGTTTCCTGTCAAACCCACAGCTAGATCTGGGAATAATCAGCACAGAAGTGGAAGGAGATGCTATATCTTTTCATAATTGATGTTAGAGGGAGTGAATACAAAAGAAAATGGCCCCAGAACAGAACCTTGCGGAACTCCACGTAGGAGCGGTCCAGAGGGAGCTGTTGAGCCTCCAAAACTGTCCCTAAAACTTCTCTCTGACAAGTAGGCCTACGATCTAAATTACTCTGAAACTGTTGATGGCTGGCAAACTGCTGTAAGATCTAAAAGCATTAAAATAACTGAGTCTCCAGAGTCACCAGGTAATAAAAGATCCTTAAAAAACCTTAAAAGAGCAGATTCTGTGCTGTGAAGTGGTTTAAAGCCAGACTGGAACACCTTAAGAATCACATCTTCCTCTGAAAAATACTGAAGGAGGAAGGAGATGAGATGTTTGCTCTACAGTCTTATAAACAAAATAGTTGAGAATTTTTTCACAGTGTTGAGGAAACACCAAGAAATTTTCTTTTTCCACCTTTTGTCATTCTTGCCTGATAATCACGAGTAATATCATTTAACCATTTAACGTTTTGTACCAGGACATATAACTTTAAGCAGACAAAAAGTTAGAAGTTATAGGGCTAAAGACATTAACTCTTCAGTATTTAAAAACAGGGAGGACCTATCGGTCTCCATGGCAATATTATATGGGTCAGCTGCCATGAGCATCATCATCCATCCCTCCATTTTCTTAAGAGTTTTTAGATTTAGAATCAAGATGGGGCTCTGTGACAGCAGTGACGCGCAACACTTTGGACAGATTGGTGTCAATTACGGGAACATTGTATATGTCATTCTGTCAATGTGCACTTCTATCTTTTTTCAATCAAATATTTGGATAATAAATAAAACATCAGGGAACACATCATCCAGAAATGAAATTAAAGCAGAAAATGTAACCTAAATCATGTAGCAGGGAACCGCTCTGTAAACAGAGATGTGAAAGCATATTCCCAATCTGATTTCCCTCTTTGATGTTTGCCTTTATATCAGTCCAACCTTGGTTGGGACCCAACAGCAATTATGTAACTCATTTCTAGAGCCCATCTCCTACTTTTAACACTGCAAGTTAGCCTGAGCACCTATCACGTGAGCCGAAAATGGATCATGCAGCAAACAGACTGAATTCTTGACTGAATTATGGCCTAATGCACATATATTCTTTAATCACGTGCAAACAACTGCTGACATCTCACAGAATGAGACATCACTGAATTTCAGCATCATCCTGTAGCATAATATGTTTGTTAAGAGGTTCATATTCCCCAACCAGTCCTCTGCACTCCATTAGGTGTAATGTAAGTGTAAGTGGGAGCTGAGTGTGTTATTTAAAAGTTTCCAGTTGATCATAAAAAATCCACACTGTCCCCCAATACTTGGTTCTATTTATTATAGTATAAAAATTAACAGTATTAAACCCATTATTGTTGCCTTTATTTTCTGTTATACTGTTGAGTTTGATTTAGACTTCTGCTGGAAATCTATCAGAAGAAGGGAGAGCAGCTTTGTTTTTGATGGAGGACAGATTAAGAGGACTGCACCCAAGGCTCACTTTAACCTGAAAAAGAGTAGTGAACTGTTAAAACAAGCTACTCTGTGGTGTCAAAGAATAAAGAAGTGGTGCTGAAATGAACAGAACAGGTCCCTATAATAGCTTAATGATGCTAATTATGCCACTGCAGAAATGCTTGTTGGTTTATTGTTATTGCCTGAAAAGAGAGCAGTCATTTGTGATTTTTGTTAGGTAGTGATCCACTTAAAAGCCTGCTTCAGTGTGTTGTCACATGTCTTAAGAAAAGAACTGACTGATAACCATACAGTTAAAAGTCAGTTACACAAACATGTCTTCTAAAATGCAACAATGACACAATATATGTACATTTTTATATTATATGTGTATATATATATATATATATATATATATATATATATATATATATATATATATATATATATATATATATATATATATATATTATATGTGTATGTGTATATGTATATATATTATATGTATATATCCATCTATTGTGTTCACAGGGAGTGAACAGTGCTCTCTCGAGCCGACAGGGGGCTGTCTGTGATCGCGTCACTGCGTCAGAGGAAAGGGGCGGGGCCAACATGGCGGCTACAAATTTTGCATGTCTGCTGTTTTGTTTAGCATCTTTTTCACAGCAGTTTAGCGCCTCCAGGCTTCTCACCGAACCGTGTTATAAACCCATTAGAGACCACAGGCCGGACTTTGTCAGGTAGGTGAAGATTTCGACCTCCAGCAGTCACACAGGTACTCACGTGAGCTCAGAGAGGAGCTAAACTAGCTCAGAAATAGGAACTCTGGCAGCCTTCCTTATCCTAAAAGTTGGCTGCAGCGTCTCTTAATAATATGGTAATTACTCGTCTTAGTGTCCTTAGTGTAGTAATATAACGTTAACGTATTAATTAAATAAAAACGTATTAACATGAGTATCAAAGTGAGTTCCGGGATACTTTTCTGTACTTCAGTACTTTGGTGCAATCTCAAAAATATGTTTTCTCCCAATGACGTGTATTGTTTTACGTGTACAGTACTAGGGTTTTCCTTGAAACTAAGCTTATATATTTAGATATAGCAATATTATCACTAAAGCTACACTAAAAGGTATATGTTTAAAAAAAACCACTTTAGTCACTAAAGTAGAAATAGGAGTAGACTTCGGAAAAATTTCACAACTAACATAACATTTTAAATGTAGTTTTTTGGGGGGAAATTATTTAGTATTTTTTGTTCATTTGGTTGGATTTATCAGCACAACCTGCCTGACGAGGCGTCTGTGAATGTGTCGAGAGCTAGGATGTCTGAATGGCTGCTTCCACAAAGTGTTGTGGTTCCTATTATGGATTTATTCTTCTAACAAATACACTCCACATAATAAAGACTGCAACACTGAAACAAACACTCTGAACCCAGTCATAAAAAAGCTAATTAGAAAATATAAAACTATTTGTAGTTAAATGTAGTTAAATCATAAATCATAACAGGGGTGGCCTGTGTTCCAGTTTCTGTGTTTTTTTATTACCAAATCACACAGAAATTAAAACTGGGCCACCAGTGTCTGGTTAACTCAACATACGCTCACAAGAAACCTCAAAAAGATGATCGAAGGATTCATCACTACAAATATGCAGAACAGCAGGTGAACAAAGGCTAAAGGTTTGAAGAGTTGTTACAGCAGAAAAAGGGAATACACACATGCAAAGAATAGTGACTATTACAAGACTGTGAAACAATCTTTACCTAATGAGGGAGATGGGAAAGTGTAACTAAGTCCTGTTTGGTCCTCACATGATCAGTCCGACACCTGTAATCTACACAGATTGCATGTGTTTAATTTTTAATTTAAAATACATACACAATTCACATGTCACTGTCAAAAAATCTCAAGGTGGAGGAATGGAAAATGTTATGAGTTTCACTGTGAGTGACCAGAATGGGCAGGATTAGACATGAGTACAAGGCTGAGATGGTTTGAACGTGTGCAGAAGAGTTATGAATTGTTTAAAGGATGTTGAAAAGGGATCTTCCAGGCAGGTGGACAAGAAGACCGCAGAGAAGATTCATGAATGTAGTGAAGGAGGACATACAGAGGGTTGGTGCCACAGAGGAGGGTGATACAGATAGGGTGAGACAGAGGCCGGTGATCTGCTGTGCTGACTCCTAAAGACAGCAGCAGAAGAAGAAGAATTGAAATCTTATGATTGGAAATGTTATGAGACATTTCTTACAATGTTGTTGCATCATTTAGAGATTTACTTTACTGCTGTAGCTGATAAATGTGGAGCTTCATTCATCTATATTAGATAAAGTGACAACAAATTTGTGTGTCGTTACATGGAAAAAATGGTAACTTAATTAACTTCACATAGTTATTAAAAAAACAGAAGCAAATTTTTAGGGAGTGTGCAAGCAAAAATGAATAGAACGTTTACTCTTTACCAATTTCTTGTTTTACTAGAGTATTATGTCAAGGTTTAATTTGAGACATAATAGGAGATGTACAATACTTCCTTTGCCAGTATAAACAGTTAAAATTGCACCTTAAAACTGCACTTTAGTACTTTTCACCACAGGCTTTATTATAATAAACAAAGTAGCAGTGAGATACCCATTTCCATTAAGTTCTCCATTAAACAGCAGGGCTTGATAAAAAAAAAAAAACCCACAACATTGCAAACTGAGAAGTATCATTGAGAGTTCAAATACATTTCTTGATATGCAGAGGGAACAAACTAACATTTTTTTGGTCAAAAAAACATAAAATTCCATTAAATTAATACAAAGGGGCAGCACGGTGGCACGGTGGTTAGCACTGTTGCCGCACAGCAAGAAGGTCCTGAGTTCAATTCCAACATCAGGCCGGGGTCTTTCTGTGTGGAGTTTGCATGTTCTCCCCGTGTTTGCGTGGGTTCTCTCCGGGTACTCCGGCTTCCTCCCACTGTCCAAAGACATGCAGCTTGTGGGGATAGGTTAATTGATTAATCTAAATTGTCACTAGGTGTGAATGTGCGAGTGAATGTCAGCGTGAATGGTTGTCTGTCCCTATGTGTTAGCCCTGCGACAGACTGGCGACCTGTCCAGGGTGTACCCCGCCTCTCGCCCTATGACAGCTGGGATAGGCTCCAGCGCCCCCCGCGACCCTGAAAAGGATAAGCGAATGGATGGATGGATGGATGGATAATACAAAGCCACGTCTGATTATCTGTAATTGCACAAAATTTGACAACTGGTGCAAAATCATCTGAAGTGAGATAACATGCTTGCTGAACTTTGTGCTCAGCAGGGACAGATATCACCGCACAGACATGCAAATGTCCTGTCCGGCTATTAGCACCCACAGGAAATGTCAGTCAGTCACAGCAGTTACACTACCCACACACTCCCGAGAGGGGATGATATTAGTCAGACAAGTGAAAACATCTGTGCTCGCTTTAATAACAATAATTACCGCTGCTCATCACTCCCCTTTGTTTAGGACGCAGGCCCGGCCGCATGTAGAGGTGTTGAAGCTTCCTCCGTCATGGGACTGGAGGAACATCGATGGGAAGAATTATGTGAGCGTCACGAGGAACCAACACATCCCCCAGTACTGTGGCTCCTGCTGGGCCATGGGAGCCACCAGTGCGCTAGCTGGTAACCATGACAACAGCGGGATGGAGGAAAATGATAATAGCGATACGGCTAGAGGGCATATTGTCATGTGAAATGAAAATGACTAAATTTAGTGGTAAGTGGAGAAGCATCCACCGGCTCCTGCTAATGTGTGTTGTTCTTTTTGTCTAAGACCGCATCAACGTCAAGCGTGGAGGAGCGTGGCCATCGGCGTACCTCTCCGTGCAGAACGTGATAGACTGCGGGAGGGCAGGTTCCTGTTACGGAGGCGATCACCTGAGAGTCTACGCCTACGCGCACGAAAGTGGCATTCCTGATGAAACCTGCAACAACTACCAAGCCAAAAACCAAAGTAAAGAAATACTGAGTTATATTTTGTTTGTTTGTTTGTTTGTTTGTTTTTCATCAAAGGCCATATTTCCTTTTGATTAGCTCCAATCAGAATTGGATGATGTTACTTAAGATTACTGGCATTTAAAAGTAATCTATTATTGCATTAACTGCTGAGGTCTGATTGTAAATTACACTTTAGGTGAGGCTGCAGTTGTCTCTCTGTGTTACGCTGTGATAGACTGGCAATCTAACCTGGTCATAACCCACCTTTCACTCAATGTCAGCTAGATCTGATCAACTTATTAAATTCAGGGTTGTGGGGGTGGGGCTAGAGCACAGGTGTCGAACTCCAGGCCTCAAGGGCCGGTTTCCTGCAGGTTTTAGATGTGTTCTTGATCCAACATAACTGATTTAAATGACTAAATGACCTCATCAACATGTCTTGAAGTTCTCCAGAAACCTGGTAATGAACTAATCATTTGATTCAGGTGTGTTGACCCAGGGTGATATCTAAAATCTGAGCGTAGGTTCCAGACCCATCTCAACAAAGCCTCATGATGTTGGTCTGTAGCCTACTGTATATTAGGAGTCCCCTGAATTTTTTGCATAGCTAGTTGACAGTGATAAAATGTTTTCCACCACATGACCGGGAACAAACGTGTTAAATTCCCCTTTGAGTGATGGCTTTGTCCAATTTACATGCTCTCTGTTGTCAGCAACACATTAGAGAGGAGCTTCCAAATTCATGATGCAGAAGCAGGTAAATAAATAAAAAAAGCTGTTGTTAAGCTATTGTAAAAACAAAAAGAAACCTACAGACTGAAGAAGTGCTGACAAAGGAGGGCGTTGACAGCATTCACAGAGGGATGAGTGGTGGCTAGACACAGGTGAAGGTGATGAGGGCAGAGCAGACAATCACAAAGGAACAGGAAGCAAAACTAAAACAAGACACATGCCAAAATAAACTTCAAAGTTAAGCTGAAAGTAACAAAAGACAATAACTATCTCTGAGAGGTAAAGAGTGATGCTAACGTGACTGCAGAGAAAGAGCAACAGGAGGCAGAGGCAGGAGGAAATGGAGAAAGTAGAAGCTCAACACTGCACTGCAAAACCAGCAGAAAACCTTTCTGAGCGCCAGCAACTGGCCTCATCACCATCGCTGGGCTAAAATTAGCTCGCAGGTGGCTCTACAAAATATGAAGCAGTTGATAAGAGACCCATCACACTGCCACAGAATAAAGCAAGTACTTGAGCAAAGTAAATTCTTTTCTCTGTGACCATGCCAGCTTACCTGACTGACACAAAATATCCCACGTGTTGATTTGTAAGTGTGACTTTGAAAGTTTACCCAGAATTCAGCTTTGGTAGCTTTCTCCAGAAACTGTGACTGTGACATATATCATGATATTGATGGTTTGGAGTTTGGATCGTTTGGATTGGGTGTAAAATTGAGTTGGTTGCAGTTTATAACAGAGCTTAAATATGAGGTGTCAGCCCTGAAATTGTCTTTATTCTTGACGTTATGAGGGTTCAAAAATACTGGGAAAAAAGAGGCAAATGGAAAAAGTGCAAAGCTTCGACCCACCTCTGTGTCCTAAAAGGGCCTGTTGAAATGATCTCACTCTCTCTTTGTTGTTCAAGCACAATGGTGCTGCACCTGTGCCTCTGAAGAAATGCTTGTCCTGACCCGCCTGCACGGCGCTCTGACATGAAGCCTCTTAAATAAACGGTTCAGAGGAAAAGGTTGACTGGCATGCTGGGCATTTATTCAGGAACACAGAGAATTAATGAAACCATTAAACTAGTACCATCCCCCCAAACTGCTGGTACATTTTGGACACTGCATAGATGTGTTACCCAGCACATAATTATGTAGCAGTATTCACAATTATGTCTTAATGCACAGCAGAACATCATCCCCATGTTTGAGGGTTTGGAAACCTCAGTGCCTATTTTTGTGCATTGTACACACAGGACATATTCTGTTTTACACTGAAACTATGATATCATATACAAATGTTTTTAAAACAGCTGCCCCATTGTGTTAAAAGCTCATCTTAAAATATTGAGCTACTTAGAGTATTGCTGCCATGGTATTGCGACCATTCTCTGTAATACTATAGTTAGACACGTATGTGATTCTGGTGGTAAGTCCTGCAGCTTGAGCAGCCACTGCATGGAGAGACATCTCAGAGGCGTTATGCTCACCAGCAGTACCGTAACTCTTAAAGAAATTCACATTAGCTCAAAGTCTAACGACTCCTTATGATAATACATTGACAGGCCAGTTCGCCGTGTTCTCAGTCAGTGGATGTAGTATACAGTTTCAGTGCACTATTTTTTTTTAGTGGTGGTATTGTAATAGAGATTTTAAACAGCGCTGCGAAACAGCAAAAGCAAGATTACATCTCAACAAGTGATGTTAGTTTCAGTTTTCCATCATAAAGCGATGAGGATGAGTAAAGTTCCTGTGAAAAAGAAGCATAAACTCCTCTTTCTGGAACTGCTGCCACATGGCGGGGAGCAGACGGCACGATCAGGTGAACTCGGTCGGGAAGACAAGAAGTGACAAAGACGGAAAGCAATCAGTGATAAAGAAAGCGAGATGGGCTCTTCACTGTAATACGGACTGGGAGCCAATTCTTACTGCCAGCTTACTGTGCGTGGCCGATCTTACTGATGCTCTTGTAGCTGAACAGGAACAAAAATCTGTACAACCAGACTCCAAAATATGGAGAGAGAGAGAGAGTGGAGGCGATTAAAGCAGCAGATTATTGTAAGGAGATATTCTGCTTTCATATATGAATGCAACGGCTTGGTGTCCACAATTCTGGGCCTTTAGAGTAGCTATCTGTCTAGTTTTGAGATGCAATTCTAGTGAAGTCCTAGCATATTTTAAATCACTAGTTTTAACATGGTAAGTCTTGACATGTTCGCTGTTTTGAGGAAAAATGTAACTGACATAATTCTCAACTTAGTAAAATTAGAGATCAGCAGTCTGGCATCGAAGCCACGCCACATTCAGAGTCACTTAAATCACCTTTTTGTAATGGTCAGTTTGGCATTTAGCAGGTCGTTTTGACCATGTCTACACGCCTAAATGCATTGAGTTGCTGCTATGTGACCGGCTGATTAGACAGTAGCATTAACAAGCAGTTGAATCAGGAGCAAACTGAGCGCTCACTGAACTTTAAATCATCTTCTTCATTTGTTGTAGAGTGCGAGCTGTTTAACCAGTGCGGCACGTGCTCCTTCTTTGAGTCGTGCGCTGTTGTGAAGAACTACACCGCGTGGAAAGTCGGAGACTACGGAGAAGTTTCTGGAAGAGATGAGATGAAAGCTGAAATTTTCACCGGCGGACCCATCAGGTAGAGTAAGTCATCCTCAAAGTCATTTCTCACTTTTCATCCACCTACTTCTCCTGTATGAGGGAGGATACACTGCCTGAGATTTTCACAGAGAAGCTGTTCTCTTAGGGAAGTTTTTTTTTTTCAGTGAATGACTATTTAATGATTCTTAAAACCTTGGAGAAAGATAACAGCAACGAGTGTCATTCTTTTTTACACTCAGAGAAATCTTAAAGTCAAATTGAATGCCATTAAGTATTGAAAAAAATCAGACCTGTATGTGTATATATACAGTATATTAAATTTCACCTTGAATCCACTTTGATAAACTCAGCTGAGCGTTTTGTGTCCCTTTAGAGTTTACATCTTACATCAGCTGTTAGTCTTTTAGTGGTTTGGCTCTGACAGCTTTACATTATCTTTAAATTAAATCATGCGGTATTAACAGGGTCTTTAAGAGTTTCCATTGTGCTGTTGTAATATCTGCAGATAAGAACTATTCAACGTTTTTTTTAAATAGTTGATACCTAAGAGCCTTAATAAAATTAAAACAAGATTTTGGGCATGTAGGTGTGTATCACTGTCACGTCCCTGCTCAGCTAAGGCAAAGAGTGTGAAGTTCAGTAAAGGTATTTATTAACCAGCAAAATGGTTACAGTAACAAGTTAATATGTAAATGGATTCATACAGGTCTTTTACCCATCTACCCATTCATGTAGACGTACAGGACTTAGTTTAGAGTCATCAAATAATCTAACATGGAAATCTAGCTAGGATGTCTTCTGGTTCAAGTGTCACAGCAGGACTGGGAGGAGATCTTGAGGCATAATTTGGAGAGATTATGTCTCCCCTGAATGAGTTGGAGCCTATGACTGGAGGTCTGAGTATCTCTGCTGACTGCTGCTAACAGCTAACGAACTGTGCTCCCCGTCCAAATAGTACCCTGTGTCTTAACAGAATAACTTAACTAACTGTGGGGGTGTGAGTGAGCAGCGGGGTAAGCGACGCCTGGCAAAGTTTCCAGGAACCAGAACAAGTGCCTCAGAACAAACAGTACTTGCTTAAGGCTGTTAAAATAATTTCAAATTAAAAGTACTGGCTTACAACTGTGATCCAAGAGGCAGACTGCTCATATTAAAAGCACTGAGTAGCATCTATACTGCATTTAAATAAGGTGACAGCAACAAGGTGCGTTTGCTAAATGGTCATCCAGACTGGGCGCCTGTCCATTAAGACAGCAGGGTGATTGGTACTCGAATCACAGGCGCAGTTGGATCTGCATATGATGAAAAGGCTCAAATGATTAAACTACAGGGGCTGGGAAAACTGTGAAAACATTGCAAGAGAATTTCAAGTTAATTAAAGGAGACTTATTATGCCTTTCTTTATTTTATGTCATGCATATACTGTTAAAATTATGAATGTGCTTTTTACTGTTGTGAGTGGTGATATGGATACAACCCAAAGGAACAGGACATGTTGGAACATTGGGGGGAAAAGTCAAACTGAAGCAAAAATTTTAAAAACTAGAATATACAGATCAACAGTAGGATTACTTTAGGCCGCAATATCTAATCAGCCGCTCAATCCATTTAGGGACACTGACATGGTCAAGATGACCTGCTGAAGGCTGTGGTATTTAGAAACACTGAAGATGACTGTGTCCAGCAGGATAACAAGCCATGAAATCATCTCAAACTGGTTTCTTGAACATGACGTAACATTTGTATTCAAATGATCTCCACAGTCACCAGATCTCAATGCAAAAGAGCACATTTGGGATGTGATGGAAAGAGAGAGTCACATCATCAGAATCAGAATACTTTATTAATCCCAGAAGAGATTATGTAATGAATGTGGAGCCAACAAATCTGCAATAACAGTGTGATGCTATTACGTCAATATGAACCAAAATCACTGAGAAATGTTGTTGAATCTGTGCCTCAGAGAATTAAAGCAGTCCTGAAGGCAAAAGGGGATCCAAGCCAGCACTCGCAAAGTGTACCTAATTAAGTGACCATTAAGTGTCTATATATGCGCACAGAAATAACTGAACAATAGCACACAGGTGTGTGCAGCACGCAGGAGGAAACATTGTGCCTTATTCACACAGTGTGTGGATGCTAGTCATTAATATTTTAGGGCCTGAATTTGTTCGTACTCCGTGAGCAAATTTAAAAGTCCCTCTGACCAAGCAAATGAATAAATGATGAAGGCCTGGCTGTCTTATAAAATGTAACACATGTCTATAATTTGAATTGAATACTACAATTTTTTGGTCATTATTTAGTTATTTAAATAATTACTTATTATTATATACAGTTAAACACAGTAAACCCCAAAATACAGTCTAATTTCTTGGCACTGTCCCACATATTCCAGAGAATTCTGGAGAATATAGATGATATTCTCAACGTCCGTTATTTCGGACAGTCCTCGTATTTTTTTATAGTGTCATAACTCTGGTGGAAACATTTTGGAAAGCTGTGCCATTTCTAACTACTCAGACATTATTACTCAGGCTTTTTCCTGCTTTCTTGCTTTAGCGGTGCAGGATACGCTCTGACATCACCAACATTTTCTGCTTCACTTGGAAGTAAACATGTTTCTCTGTACAAACAAGTAGAAGCAAATCTTTCATATAATAACAATTAGGTGTAGCACTTTTCAAAACCAGCTTTACAAAGTGCTTTCCAGAAACCAGGGTTAGAAAACAAAGAAGGAAATTATAAATCAGTTAAACTAAGGCTCATGTGTAATGTCAGAATTAGATACAGTGTGATTTAAATTTTCGTGAATAACTTAAACTTAACTTACAAATCAGCAACTAAAAGTAGAAGAAGACGAGTTAAATTTTATATATGCAAATATACATTAATGTAAATATATGCAAATATAAATATATATATATATATTTGAAAATGAATGCATGGTGTTAACAACAAAATACGTCAGTGTGCATGTTTTACTAATCCAGCTGTAATTTTGCATACACTCTTGATTTTTTGCAGAGGCTGAGAACGTTCCCAAACACATATTAGTAAATAAAGCCCAATTAACTGCAGGTGAAAGTAACCGGAGCAGAGTAGACCATCACAAAGGAGAGAAAAGGCATGAAGTAAAACTATACACCACGGAAAACTAGACTTCACAGGAAAACAGGAAATAATCGAAGGCAACGAACAACCAGACATGAATGATAGCCAATAAACACGAAGTCAGGGATACACAGAAAGCACAGCACATAAATAAAACTAGAGGAACACAGAATAAGAATAAAATAAGGGGAAGAACTGAAATACAGTAGTATCAGAAAAAAGTCAAAACAGGAACCCAAAAACTCACACACACACACAAGAGTCAAAACTAGAAAAGCATTGAAATCCAGACAGGAGCTAAAATTCAAAAATCCAAGAGCTGAAGGTCAAGATGACAACAAATGAAATGAAATGAAAACAAAAATCCAAAACTCAAATGCCGCAAAAAGTGTTTATTTCAAACAGTGCATGACCTGGGGAGCTGCAACAAGGAAAAATATGGAGCTGAAAATAAGCATAATGTCTCACCTTTAATGTGTCAAAGGATGTAATAATATCTATGCAAGGAAAGGTCCATCGAGAAAAACTGTATTTATTAACATTTGACTGCAGATTCAAAGCAGAAGACTGCGAACAAAACTTTGCACTTAAAGTTCTCACAATGCATAATACACACTTAAGATGCAAGTACAAATTTTGAGCCCGCTTTAAAAGCCGACGCATAGCTAAAAATGACCGTAATTTGAGCCCACGTAACGGTTCCATCTAAGATTTAGCATTACATTTCAGTAATGAAAGAAAATGGCAACATAAAAGGCATGAATTCTTGTCTTTCAGCTGTGCATTGATGGCGACTGAAGGCCTGGAGCGATACTCCGGAGGGATTTTCTCCGAGTTTCACCCTCTCTCTCTGCCAAATCACATCGTGTCTGTGGCTGGGTGGGGCGTGGGCGAAGATGGGATCGAGTACTGGATCGTCAGGAACTCCTGGGGAGAGTTCTGGGTTGGTATTTCACGACAGCTTGTGCTTACTCCGAGCTTAATGAGCTCTGTAAACTAAATTCACAAGTTCTTATTAATTTTATTTTGGCTGAGCTGAAGCAGAAAATGTTTGTTTGATTTTTTCAAGACTTTTTAATTTCTCAGACTTGCAGTCAGAGTAAATAATGCTGTTTTGTTTTCTTCCTTTTAGGGAGAACACGGCTGGGCGAGAATTGTCACCAGTGCATTTAAAGGAGGAAAAGGCAACTGGTTCAACCTGGGTATTGAGAAAAACTGTGCATATGGAGACCCTATTGTAACATAGGTGCTTAATTAAGGTGATCAATCTTACTGAAATAACTGTGGATAGTTTGGAAACTTTAGGGAACGCTTTCCTTCTGTGTACTAAAATCAACATGTGCAAACAACAATTTGCTGTTTAATGTGGGTTTATTTTTTGAAAGTGCTTCTTGGCTGAAAGCAGTAATGTCCTGAAGCTAGTTCAATCCAAGAAATTGTTTGGTAACATCTTCCTGTAAAAAAACCTCAATCACAACATGTTATTTATGCACTTTGGTTTCTGCATAAAATAAACAGTATTACAAAGTCGCAGTGCACTCAGCTCAGAATCTTAAACATGTACAGACACTACCGGCTCTCACTAAGTATACTTCTTAGTGTTTATTTAAGAGCAGGAAGAACGCATTTTGAGCTCTTATCTGTCATCAGCACTACCAGCTTAAAGAAAGTCTTCCATTTAGGATTTTCAGCCTTTACAGGTTGTCTGAGGATCAAGTTCAGACACGGTCGGTAGCAACAAGATATTTGTCGATGGTTTAGATACAGCTAAAAACATATAAAGGAATCACTTATTAACCCCTAAGCTTCCCTCTTAGAGAGACTTGAAAATCTCTTAAACATGTTTCCATTAAAAAAAATGACAAAGTGTATCATTAAACATTGGCACATTTTATTTAAGCTGTTTGATCAAAGATTCACAGATCTTTGCAAATAAATGGGCCAAAAATCTGAGTGGTAAAGTGGTCGACGCTGATTGCTTCGGACCTCCTCAAACATATTTAAATTGTGAGGGGATTGGAAGAAAGTTCAAAGTTAAAGATGGACTCTTTCTTATAGAACCAAATTTGTGGTCTACTTCTTAAAATGCCCAAATGGGCTGATAATAGCATAGGAAAACTCAACTGAATTGTAAAATGTCTTTGCTAGCAGTACCATCAGTCATTATCAAGTCGAGTCACTTTTATTTGTACAGCAAATTTTACAACAACAGAAGTTGAGCCAAAGTGCTTTCCAGGCAGGTGCTGTTGCGTTCCAGGTCCAGACGTTACACTGGTGCAGAACTGTACCCTGTCTGTGTGGTCAGAGTATGCAGATCTCGGATAAAGGCACTGATGCCGTTGACTTGCCTTCCCCAGACCTAAATCCAGTTGAGAACCTGATGTTAGGTATCTATACATCTGATGCAACCAAATAGCACCACAGACTGTCCAGAAGTTCACTGATCCAGGTTTGGGAGGAGATCCTTCAAAACAGCATCCACCTGCATCAGGAGCATGCCCAGATGTTAGCATACAGGATCATGGGGACTATACACACTACTGAGCTACATTATGACATGAGCAGGATCAGTGTGTGATTTAAATGTGTAGCTTTTGGTGTTACTTTAAGGAGCTCCCCTCCTTTCACTCTTGATAGGGCCACCAAGCTGCCCTAAACTGAGCCTGCTTCTGCTGGAGATCACTTCCTGTTGAAAGGAGGCTCTTCCTCCCCACTGATGACAATGTGCTTGCTAATAGTTGATCCATCTGACCACAGAACAGTTTTCCACCTTGTCTCAGTCCACTTTTTAAAAAAAGCTTTGATTCAGTGAACATGGCAGTATTCACATGTTCACATGTGGTTCTCATGATGGTTTCTCCAGATTCTCTGAATCATTTGTTGATATTATGCACTGTTAATGATAGATATTCAAAGTCTTTGCAAGTTTACGTTGAGGAACATTATTCTGCAACGGTAGATTTTTGCAGATTGGTGAACCTCTGCCCATCTTTACTTCTGAGAAACTCCGCCTCACTAAGATAACCTTTTTACACCCGATCATGTTACTGACCTGCTAGTTGCAAAATGTTCAGTCAGCTGCTTCTGTTTAGTACCATTTACTTTTCCAGCCTTTTGCTGTCCTGACCCAAACATTGATTCTGTCATCAGTTTCAAAATGATCCGACATTTTTCATGAAATTGTAAAATGACTGTGTTTAAACATTTGACATGTTTTCCATGTTCTATTATGAATAAAATGTGGGTTTAGGAGATTTGCATTCAGTTTTTATTAACATGTTACACAGTCTCCTTTCTGAGAGCTGGCATTGTCATATTGGAGAGTACTTACGTGTGTGTGTGTGTGTGTGTGTGTGTGTGTGTGTGTGTGTGTGTGTGTGTGTGTGTGTGTGTGTGTGTGTGTGCGCGCGCACTGGTTGTTGGATTTTGTTACCATGCAATGCTATCAGTCTTTTAATCTAACTCAGCTCATTATTGTTCCTTTTATTCATTCGTTTTTCACATTTTAGAGAAAGCTTAATGTAAAACCTTTTCACTGTAGACATTTAAGTCGATATGTGGTACAGTTTGCATATCGTGACCTTTGAGCTTAACCGCATTCAGACCTTTTCAATTAAATAAATTGAATAGTTTTATCCTAGACAGATGACCTTCTCCCGAAGTCAGCTTGAAACATCTCAGTCTGCAAAAAGCTGGTGGGGTTTTTTTTTACACTTTAGAAATATTATCATACATTTCTAAGGAAATTATTTATTCCCTCAAACAGCAGGCGAGGTGAGTCACTCGCATTTAAATTCACTTTTAGTGAAGCTGAATTGGCAGGTCTGTGGAGAGGTTAGTTTACAATTACATTTTTTCCTCTGATACACCACCTAACATCTGCATAAATGGCTTCTAATTAGTGTCTGGAGCCTGACCAGCCAGACTAACATGAATCAAATCTGATTGGTCACAGTACTGTAACTGCATCCTGTTGAGCAATTGTGCCACTTTTTATTTTCCACATGAATGTGATTCACATGGAAATGGTCCTTGCTGCCTTCATTTGTTAAGCTAATGGAGGGTGTGTTTTAGTGCAGGTCTGTGAAGTAAACGGGGCCATTACCATTATTGTTCTCTGTTTTGGGGGGATTTAGGGGTTTTTAACAACTTGGATTACTACAAAAAGAACAACAGGATGTTTTCTAGGTCCTTTGCAGAGGCTTGAACTCAGCATCTTTAAATTCAGCAACTGCCAGACAAAAAGAAATGTAAATTAAATGCTAAATTAATTAATAGAGCCACTTAGTTAGGGTGTGAAAACAATGAATTTTTTGTCCTGGGAATGAAAAGCCTCTGTGTTGATACCAAAGCACAAATGTATTTAGAAGCACAGTATTTTGATTTCAGGGGTTTTGAACTTTTTAAACTTGTTTATTTTCCCAATAAATATAGCACCAGGCTGACACCCAGTATACAGGCTTAACAATAACAAGGATGGTAAAAACTCAGCCTGTTAGCACAGTTTTATAATGTTCTCTGGAAGTCTGGAGGAACGTGTCCAGTTTTTAAAAATAACCTGCTGATTTCATCTGTTACTAGTGAGCAGTCCAGAGAATATAAGTCAGGATAGCTCAACCTCTGCTGAATAGATTTGATGGTTTTGTTTTCTCTACAGCACCTTCATGCCACCCACTGCTTAGTGAGACCGTGTTAAGAAGCCTCAAGCTGAGCATCTTGATGTTTTGAAAGTGGATGAGACTAGGGAGGAGTGAACTTTGTGAAGTTCATCTTTTACTATTTAACCCTTGTATGGTGTTCGGGTCTGTGAGACCCGTGTTCAGTTTTTTTCAAAAGAAAAATTAAACAATTAATTATTTTTTCACGTGTAAATGTGTTGTGTCTTTCCACTCACTCCACTTGATTATAACTGATTTATTTATAACATTTTATATAAAAGAAAAACGAGAAGCACATTAATTCATAAATGTGATCTAACAAAGGTAAAGGGAAAAAATTAACCATGTTTGCTGTTCATGTGTCTTGTAATTGGGATGAAGTAAACATCTGTTGAGTAATTTAACATAAAATTGTTTGATAGTGTTAATTTGGAAAGCCAAAACTCTAGCAGGTCCACCAGACCCATGAACACTGGCTGAGTAACAAAAATACGAACACCACACAAGGGTTAAGTGACCTCAAACTAAAGACTGATGCTGTAAACTTACCTGTGAAGTGTTTACTGCGGTCACAGAGTGAGGCAGCTGAGAGCCCTTTCCCTATAAATTTCTATAAAACTGGACATTTTTCAGCTGATGCTGCACCCCTGTTAAAAAAAATGCAGGTTTCAAACCTGGAAACTACATCCATCTTTTATACTGTCTATGCATGAACCTCCTGAATCATAGTAATTATAGTAAAGCACATATGCTCTTATGCAGTTATTTCTTATGCAGTTTTTTTTCTGTTTGGTAATTGCGGGTGCTCCTCTTCTAACGCTTCTTTTTCATCTCATCTCCAAACCAGTTTTCTTCCTAAGCCTGATTCTACTGGGGAGCTCTTCCTGTTGTAAGGGAGTTCTTCCTCCCCACTATCACCAAATGCTTGCTTGTGGGAGAGGAATCGTTTCGATACTCTCTCAAATACTGTATTGTAGGTACTTTGTCTTTGAGATGTTGTGAACTGGCAACATAAACCTGGCTCCCAGGAGAGGATATATCTAGAACCTGTTTATGTTCCCACACCCTCTTTTTTGTGGTAAATTTAGTTCCCCACGTATCACACAGACACACGTACTCACACACATTGCGCACACAAAGCACGGCATCTCCTCTGATGTTATGCTGACGCTGGTAGGTTGATAACCATGGAGGAGCCAGAAGGGGGAAAAGGAGGAGGTCCAATTATTTTTGAAGCATTTTCTCCAAAAGTCTGACAGCCAAGTTGTGAGACTCTGTTTTTTCTCTGACTATTTTTAATGCGGCAGTGCCCGAGGCGCTGGAGAGGACGCAAAGCTATAAATTCTTTGCAGTTTTTACATCAAAAAAATGAATTTTGAAACTGCTGAGGTATTTGCCCATACTAGCTTTCTCTTTTTATCATCGTTTTACCAGCCTGTTGACAAATTCACTTGATGGAAAAGACAGTTTGGCAGGTTGTTCTTTCAGCATCACATGACTTTTCTGTTGTTTTCGCTCTATGATCAACTAAATATTGGGGTAAATGATATGAAATGTATCAGATTTTGTTCTTACTCTGAAAATAAGGCTTTTTACTCTGTTTCACAGCTACACATGATATTTGAAACACCAGCCAGTGGTAGGTATGTGTGAATAGCAAGAAGAGTGAATTCAATACTTTCTCCTTGAGACTGAGATGAGTAAGACACAAGACTGATTTACCAGCCTCAGAATTTAAACAAAGCTGTGCAACTTGAGAGCGGTTTGAGACACTCTCCAGAAGCTGCACATCTGTAGGGAAGCAGAGTTTGGAGTCCCCACCCAGTTGGTGTCTAGAGACAAAAATACTCATTCACCATCACGCACCAATCACAAGTCTGAAAACTGAGAAGGACTTCCTTTGAGTCACACTATCATTACTCAGTTTGCCTTTGCTCCACTTCCTCACTGCTCCCTCACAAGTCAGATCTTGCGCTGAATCTATGCTGGAGGGTCAAGACGGGATGGGGGGAAGTGAAGGGTGTAAATCCTTTTCATTGTACGTGTGAGCAGTGGCACAGGGCTCCTCCAAACCAACTAGTTGAGCAGGTAACAGCAGTTCGGTGGCGTAACTGGAGCAGCTTTGTTGGAGCTTTTTCCTGTGTGAAATAAACTCCTCGCTGCTTCGAGTTTCAGGGTTGACCTGGAGCTGCACACATAAGCAGTCTCCTGCTGATTAGATTTCTGCACATAATCACTTAATCTCATTTGTCCCATAGTAGTTGGCTCCTTTCCATTTATCTGTTTGTCAAGCTTTACTGATCACTGATCAGATTAGAATTTATCAACTCAATAGTTTTATTGTTTCCAGATGGAGGTCTCTGTTTTTTAAATTACTTTTTGTTCATATGTCTCTCTCTCTCTCTCTCTCTCTCTCTCTCTCTCTCTCTCTCTCTCTCCCTCTCTCTCTCTCTCTCTCTCATGAATACACATTAGTCAAGATCGCAGTTGGTAGGAGGAAGAAAACTGTAGGAAATTACTAGTATTTTCAAAATAAAAGGACAAGCCAGCGGTTTAAATTTTCTTTAAAATCAGCACAAACTCACAAAGAACAGCCGCACTGGATAGTTACAATGTGCATGTTAATGTTAATAGAAGCAGGCTGCAGTGTTGTAGGAGTAGAATAATTTTTTGATATTTGATACATTTCTCTGATGCCATCCTTGCCAAACAATTTGACTGCTAGACTTTCATTAACGCCTTATTAGTTTTATGCAGCACGGTGGTACAGTGGTTAGCACTGTTGCCTCACAGTAAGAAGGTCCTGAGTTCAATTCCACCATCAGGCCGGGGTCTTTCTGTGTGGAGTTTGCATGTTCTCCCCGTGTTTGCGTGGGTTCTCTCCGGGTACTCCGGCTTCCTCCCACCGTCCAAAGACATGCAGCTTGTGGGGATAGGTTAATTGGATGATCCAAATTGCCACTAGGTGTGAGTGTGTGAGTGTGAATGGTTGTCTGTCTTTATGTGTTAGCCCTGCGACAGACTGGCGACCTGTCCAGGGTGTACCCCGCCTTTCGCCCTATGACAGCTGGGATAGGCTCCAGCGCCCCCCGCGACCCTGAAAAGGATAAGCGGAAGCGAATGGATGGATGGATAGTTTTATGCAGTTTGGCTACTTTAACTCCATCTCAGTATCAGCTCCCATCGCTGGCTGTGGCAGCTTGCCTTGGTGTAAATGCAAAATGTTGCTTTATCTTACCAAAAATACTTTCATGGAAGTTAATAATAAATTATAACAAAATGGAAAACCCCCAACTAAAGTCTTCAATCCAGAGTGTTTTCATATAAGAAAATCGCTTTTAATTAATAATCTGATTGATGCATTTGATCAGTTAACCTCAGTTAAGCCTCACATATTGATAAAAATCATTGATGTCCTGTAATTTTGGGTGGTTTCATGTGAAATTTTGATATTTTTCTTACACAACTAATAAGCAGTGACAAGTTAAAAAACAAAAAACTAAAACATGACTGGAGCTACAAAAAAAAGGAAAGAATTCCTGACTATCAGATTTAAAGTTTCAATCCCAATCGTAAAAGTAGATGACTACAAAT